TGCATAAAATGTGGTCTTAAAATCTTTCGTATCCAGTGAAGAAAGTTCATAGATAAACTCTTTGTAGATAAGACCCACTGTCATGTTCTTTATATGAATAAAGTAAATATTTAATGGGTAAATTTTATTAAATTCCCATTTGGCAGGAATGTTGATTTCTGAAAATTGTGAAGCATCTGATTATGAAAAGAGCTTTTATTAAGTCTGCTTACCTAATCTCACAACCTAATTAAGGTTGCTGACCTCCACGTCGCGTGTGGAATACGTACGTCGGGTTTCAAAATGTCGCCTACTCAGAGGATCCGAGTCCCGGGTTTGAATCCTGTGCCCGTAGCATGAGCACCACAATTTGCGTTATATCACATTTTTGATCGCGTCTAATTGTCAAACTTCATAGCGTGATAAAAACGAGCTATATATGTATCATACCGCGGTGCTCATGATGGGGGAGCTGGTGGGGCAAATGTTTGTTTGGTTAATACGAGCATTTGTACATTGTACCTGAGTCATTCGTCTACGAAGGTTTTTTTGTTGGGTGACGGTGATCACTAACTATCAGTACCCTTAACACGAACCAACATCGAATTCCAATAGTTAGCGAGTGCGAAATGTCGTTGTCAAATTTTGTATGGAAACTTGAACAACAGCGTCATAATGGGCGTAACGAGAACTAAAAATTTGTATATATTTGACAATCGCACGAACTATTATCGCACTCGCAAACTATTCGAATTCGATAATAGTTCATGCTAAGGGTACAGGTGAGCCGTCAGTTCGTGTGCCTCTTATAATAAGTTAAACTTGTAAATAAAGTTATAATCAAACATTCTCTTCCTTTAATTTTTATTTATTTTTTCTGATTATAAGTGAAACTATTTTTATTTATATAATGGACTCTAGTTCATTTATTTGTTTAAGAAATAAAAATCAGTATTGTAATTTAAATAAGTGAGTTTATATTAAAGAAAAAAGTGACAGTTAATAATGCCTATGCAAGATAGATGGTATCGGCGCAGGCGCAGGCGGATCGATAGGAGAATTATGCATTTCTATTTTATAATGTACAATGTTATTACTAACAAATTTGCACATTGCATCATTTATTTATCATTCAAAAACTTAGAAATGTGAAGACATAGAAGCTTTCAAGTCATTTCGTTTCGATGCCGATTAAGCACAAGCCTTATTATAAGTGCGGGATGACATCTAAACTGAACACACATTTTAGTTTCATAATTACGGTAACGAAACCCATAATATATTCTGTGAATGAATATGTATGATATAGTCAAAGGTCTGTCACTCATAGCTGCGCATAATCCAGACAGAACTATTCACAGCCGACACCAATAGGAAGCACTTAAAACCCCGGGCATACATAAACATCCTTTTCATTCGTATCTCGCGAGCGACCCTCAGCATATTTCAATGAACTTAGCTCTTATTAGGGCTGCTACTATTAGAAATGAAAATTGCTCAATACTGCTTAATGCCACCCATATTTTTCTATGTGATTTTTACCCAATTCTCATTGATATAAAGAATATTATTTGTTTCTTAGGTTTTCACGCACATCACTCATTAAATAAAACTAGTTTTCTCACGGGTTAATGCACGAAACTTTATTTATTGACGTTTCGCAGCCTTTACAGGCTGCGTCGTCGGAATCAATTTTTTGTTTTAAAGGTAGCTCGACAAAATTAAACGTCAATAAATAAATAAATAAAGTTTCGTGCATTAACCCGTGAAAAACTAGTTTTATTTAAAGAATATTATTTAAGGATTACATTTTTAAGCTCGCAATACTACTTTTTTAAACGAACTTTATTTGGAGAGAGATAAATGTTCAAACTGATAAAATGTACTATTCAAGATATTAATATTGCGTTTAGCACTTAAAGTTATCTGTTTTTTTGCTTTATATTTCCATAGCACGACCTCCTTTAATCCAACTTATTCTTCAAAAGCAAAACAAAACGATAAAAATGTAATATAATCATAATTCCGCAAGGGTCTGCAACCCTTGTTGCAGTAACGAGCCCTTCAAAAGGGCGCGGAATGTAAACAGTTCCATAGACATGCTCATTTACTCGAGAGTTGCTGTGGCTTTCCTGACGAAATAATACCCCATTAAGGGCCATAGACTAATTTTAACGAGCACGGCCTCTTTTTGGAAATTTCGCTCTCTTAATTAATAAGCGTGCGGTTTTCACTTTTTTTCCTAGTCGTGAGAAGCGCATACTGTATTGAAGGTTTTACTCGTGGATATGTCTTTTAGATTGAAATTAACGTTTCCAGTGAGATAAGTGTTTGATCAAAGTAACAAAAAAAATGTGTGAATATTTAGTTTAAGAAAATCTACATTTTACTTTTATATATTCTAATTTATAATATAAATGTGAGCGTGAGTTTGTCTGTTTGTTACACTTTTACGCTTAAACAACTACTATACGCGTATAGTTTTTGATCCGGATTGTGTCTTAATTGGCATAGAATACTTTCTATCCCGGAAAAGTCTTTGGTTCCTGAGGGATTTTCAAAAATCTAAAGTTAAACAAGTCGCGGGCAGCCGTTAGTATCTTCATAATGTTATTGGTATCCTAATTAAATAAAACTAGTTTTTTACGGGTTACTGCACGAAACTTTATTTATTTATTGTCTTTAATAATTCTAATCCTAAAAAAAAATACTATAAAAAGTTTTTAATTTAGGTCACTCTTGCTCACAGTAGAATACGCAATCAGCATAAATAAACAAAAACAAAATACAAAGATAGAAGCCCTGTGTTAATTAAGTGTTGATTCTTATGCATTTAAGAATTTCCTTGTTCAAATCTAAATAAAAGCTTACTAGAAAGCATGCGTACCAAGACCTACCAAAATAACGATTTACTTTTCAACAGATCTGATTAGGTTTTGCTTTAATTTCTTACTACGGCATCCAACATTCAAGAGAGTCATATAATTATTCCGATTTCAATGAAGAAATTTTGCTTATAATAAATCCCTCAGATAGAAAGTATTCAATGCCTATTAAGACACAATTCGGATCATAAACTATATGCGTTCCAAAATTCACATAATTTCCTTGTTGTTAAAATATTACCGTAATAAAATTAGAAAGATTCCAGACCACTCCTAAAAGAAGCACGACCCTCTCAGCCGTACTTGGAAATCTTGCTCCCCCGCTTTAATCAGGTTCATTAAAGGGGTTTATTCCAATTGAAAACACTCAAGATCTAGTGATAGCATGGCACTACAAATACTGCTGAAAATTATTTCATCCGAAATATTGACTTTAATGGAGAATTCATCCCTTAAACTGACGTACGCTTTATAATATATTCAGACTGTCCCAAAACTTTGTCGCATAAAGTAAAAGTTTAAACACTGCATATAGATAATTATACTGAATGAAGGCTGTTTACGCCACTTATAGAATAAAATAAAAAATAATAAATAATATAAGAAAAATTAAATTACTTAATAGAAATATTAATTATAATTAAAAACAAAATAGTAAAATTAAATTTATTGCGCGATGGTCTAATTCCGTCCCTTTTCCAATAAAAATACTGTTTTAATGATTGGTGAATATGCAAGCGGAACGCATAGAGGTTCCGAAAAGATTTTTTTATGTGAAGTTCACCAGTGATTTATTGACGCGGTCGCATTAACACTACTTATGTGAATTGTCCAAAATTACCAAGTGAATACCCCAAAAATAAAAATGGACATTACTCCAGTTCTGTGATAAGTGCAGTGTTAGTGGACAAACCCAAATATGGAGGCAAAATCAAGGAGTGAAACGCTAGTCCTGAAAATTCCCTCATTTCTAGGCAAACCTACGAACCAGAGCTTTTAAAGGCTGTTTTTTTATTTTTTATAATTATTTCGAACATGCAGTTCTTTCGTACTTTCTTAATAGTAGTTCGTTCAAAGAATTTAAAAATCACCTGGTTGAATCGGAAATCGAAACTGCTATATAAAAAAAAAGTAAATGTATTTATTACTTCTAAATAACATGACACCTAAAACTACGCACCTACTTGAGGTTATGTTGCTGCAGTTATTGTCAATAGTGATGACTGATGAGCCACATGGTGAAATAGATGAGTTTAACTAGGTCCATACATTGGGTTATTTACTCTTATCTGATTTTGTCCGCTGGTACGGAAAACATTTAACAAAATCCTGTTAATTACGGAAATGCTTTTTAGCTCCTTTTTAGTGAAAATTAAATATATGGCAATAAATAGGCATTGGTAAAATTTCCTTTTTTTATATAATACTTATACATATGGGATGCATTTTGGCCGTACCTTGTAACATTCTGTGCTTATTTTATTATTATTTTTATCTTGTAACCCCATTATGTTATAAGAACCTCACCCTTGTGGATATTCTAAAAACAATTACATATAAATATGTTACCGTTGTTGCCAAAGACGTAAAGGTAAAAAAAAAATACTTTGTCCACTGGGGAGCACATTGCCAAAGTTCACACAAGCTTGGGAGATAATTATGTCTATCATAAAAATGTTTGGCAAAATGCATTTAAGGTCAAGACTTTGCTTGTGAGTAATGCTCTTAGTACTACCTACGTCACAAAGACGCCATTAGTATTAAATTTTATTGATCAACGTCTCTTTTAGTTTTAATATTCCTCAGATCAAGGAATTCGAAAAAATAACTGAGAATTAGGAACTTTGAGATTCAATCTCAAATAAAAATTGTCCTGTCACTTTACTATTCAATTAAAATATTTTTACAAATTTAATAACTATTATGAAAGTGAAAAAATAAAGTAAAAAAGTTATTTTAAACTCTTCATAGCAAATCATCATGACGATATCGGATTCTGCCCTCACAAATCGAATATATAACTCATTACTTTAACTAACAGTACAGCTCTTAGAGCATATTGGCATATGCTCTAAGTTACAACCTCGTAAATATTCTAATGCACTTTGGCATTTCATGTATGTTTTTAGTGTGTTAATGTTGGTCGCAGGTGACCGTTAATTTAGTAACATCGATAGTGATAATGCTATCCCCAGGCAATATATCTACCAAAGGGCCAACTTCTTTTGTAGCGTTTGCGTTGGAATTATATGATATCGTCGTGACGTCTAGCAATATTGAAATAATAATGTAATATTAGGTTGGGGAAAAAGTTTCTTCGCATTTTATATGAATATTCAAAAAATTTTTTAATAAACTTCATTTAAAAACCAAAGGTTGTAGGTGCTTTTTGTTGGATAACTTTTTGCCATCTTGTAGGAAGAACCACGATCCCATTGATAAAGAAATTTTGGGGCTTCTAACCAATAAACCGCGACCAGTGGTTTTTGCAGTCCTCTCGTGATGATAACTTGACACTGCCTAAAGAATTCTGAAGAGACCGAAACAAGTGGAAATCTGAAGATGCAAAGACAGGACTATAAGGCGGATGCATTAAGACATCCCAGTCAAAATTCTTAATCTTAATTTTTGCTGAGTGGCTAAAGATTGGTGAGGTCTAGCGTTATCATGATGAAAAACCCGCACCCCTTCTGTTGATTAATTCCGACCGCTTTCACTCAACTTTTTGCTTTAATCTCATCAGTTGTTTGCAATACAGTTCAAAATCGATGGTCCTGCCTGGCGGTAAAAGTTCATAATTAATAATGCCCTTTCTATCCCACCATAGACACAGCATCACCTTATTACGAGTTAACTCGGGTTCCCCAGAATCTGTAAAGCCTTTGACCACGACCTTTTTCGCACGTTCTTGTCGTACGTACTCCACTTTTCATCACCAGTTATCAGCTTCTTCAAAAATACTTCAGTTTCATTACGATGTAAATTCGTCGTAATAAAGCATCACAATGAGTACACATTATGGTTCTTTCAGTGAGCTCGTGAGGCACCCAAAAATCAAGCTTTTTTGTGAACCCAGCTTTTTTCAAATGCGCCAACACAATGTTGTGGTCAATTCCCAGTTCTTCAGCTACGTTGTAACTACATATATGCCAATCTTGCTCCACTTTTTCAAAAATGGCATCCATTTTATCCAGAATAGAGCGACCAGAGCGACGTCCATCTTTGAGATAAAAAATCCTGATTAAAATCGCATCAACCAAAATTTGTGCTACTCACACAGACACTGCACTAGATCCATAAACATCACAAATATTTGTCGCGGCTTGCGTTGCATTTTTACCTTTTTTGTAGTAAAATTTTATCAAATTTCTTTATTTGATTCACTCATCTTGACAGTAAGAAAAACAAATTAAAAACACACATTTTTCTAATTGGGATTAGGAATTAACTTCTTTAAAATTTATACTTTTTAATTTATATTTTCATACATATATACTATAATGTCAAAGTACTTTTTTCTAACCCATTATACGATCTAACTCTGAGAATCTGAATTCTGTTTAAAATCTTGTAAGCCCCACCAACCAACTTAAACAATATAAAATACGACACATAAAAATGATTTTACTACAGAGGCTTCAAACATGCCTGATTCACCTTGTTGTTACCTTTTGTTTAATGACATGCAGAGCACCTTCTTCATAATATACATTAGGTATCCACCCAAAACATATATTAAATTTAACATAATTGGAATAACAAGATTCTTGGTACTTTGTCTTGAGAAATTTCTCTAGACAAAGTACCAAGAATCTTGGCAACACATTTCCATTACAAGATCTAGTCTGTTTACAAATTATGATAATTAGGTCTTGGAGAACGTTCTCAGCACAAACAAGTATTTATTAGTACATTAACCTAGATAAATCATTTTAGCTGGATGAAACGGTTGACTAGCATATTATAGATACACCTTATACATGCCATATTTGGCAATGCTTAGGTCCTAACAGCTGCCCGAATATACACGTAGTACAGTCTATCTGTCGAAATAAAAATCGGTTCAGTGAAAAAAAACCTAAAGGGTAAGTCTTGTTTTTTCTGTTGCCAAATGACGTCAGTAAGCCACCTTGGCGATGGGCATGTTCAACTCGTAGGCGTTTTTTGAAAAACTCAAAAAAACCCTCAAAAACATTTTTAAAGTCATTTTTCTTGATTTTTATGCATTTTAGAAACTTTTTTTTGATCATAAAAAAATAAAAAATAGTAAAACGTAGTACAGTGAAATGTGCACTGCAAATGTGTACTTAAACTGCCCAAAACCGCTCTATTGGATTTTTCATACCTGCGCAATTTATAACTTGAAAACTGTAAGTAATTTAAAAAAAATGTTTATACAAAAGTTGTTGGTAAAGTTGTACGGAATAACTTTTCCTTTTAAAGTTTTCCATTAAAATGATATTTTCAGGGTGAAAAAGTGAAAAAACACTTTTTTTGAGACTTTAGCGCCACCTACAATGCGCATTTTTTGTTGTACGAGATTGCAACAATAACATAAATTGTAGTACTCAACGCCCTCTACTATTATGGTCGAAAAAAAAGTTTCTAAAATGCATACAAAACAAGAAAAATGCGTTTCAAAAAATTTTTGAGGGTTTTTTTGAGTTTTTCAATAAACGCCTACGAGTTGAACATGCCCATCGCCAAGGTGGCTTACTGACGTCATTTGGCAACAGAAAAAACAAGACTTACCCTTTAGGTTTTTTTTTTCACCACTCAACCTACAGATTGACTGTACTAAAGACCAAAAAGTCATTTCTGAAGCTGCTACCTTCTGGTCATTAACATGTACTATCTGCTATTTTAAGTAAGCAGCTGGATCATTGGACGTGCTTTCTTTTGGCAGGTTCCATATGGTAGAAAGACCACAAATTTGGCTTTAAGCGGGAAATATCTTTTGTTTCAGATACAATAGCACTCCGGGACGTCCAGCTCATAGCTCCATCCGCTGTTAGACTTGGAGACACAGTTCAGCTAGGCTGCAAGTGGACGTTAGAGGGGAACGAAACGCTGTACAGCGTCAAGTGGTACAGAGGCAGGCAGGAGTTCTTCAGCTTCCTGCCCAAAGAATACCCGTTTACCAGGATCTTCGCGCAGCCTGGAATTGACGTGGACGTGAGTTTATTTTGCTTCCTTTACTCTTCATAAATTTAAGAGACATTGTTATTTGATATTTACAGTTGCATGTTGAAAATAGAAGCTTTATTTGCTAAGACGCCTTCTGCTCTAGTGTGTGTAACATAGATTAATAAATCTAGTGCCCCAAAGGAAATATAAAATGTAGAAATATTGCAAACTTCTTAATAGATACTACCATACTATAGATATATTGTAGTTTAGCGGCAAATTAAAATAGATATTTTAGATAGCAATTTCTTTTAATGAAGAATAGGTACGCACAGAAGAATTATACACACTTATTTAAAAGTAGACAAAAACAGAAATATTGTCATGTCACGCAATGTAACTTTTCCAAAAGCGATGCCAAATGTTCATTTTAAATAAGAACTACCATTCTTAAAGGTTTTTTTTCTTTGTGAAAATTCGTATTCAACTTTAGTGCTGATCCGAACATCGAGATTATACGCTGCAACAACTGCGCTCGCGTTCAGTGGAGCGGAATAATTTTGAAAAATTATTATCCCGTTCATTCAACTTAACTCGGGTCGGTTCAAACTAGACTATTAAAAGTTCACCCGAGCCGACCAGAACTGTTCTGTGCGCGACACGATCGCAAAAAGAATAGGCACTGTCTTAGTTCAGCGGGCCTTGTGCATTTTAATTTTAAACGGAGAAATTTCAATGTTCTCTCAGGCGGCCTGATTTTGTGTTTGCTAGTTTTTGAAAGTTGCTGTATATCGTTGCGCTTGCAATACTGTTGCGACTGACGAGACAGCGAAAGAAAAAGATTTAAAGCGTGTTATTTTTCATACAGTTAGTCTATTAATGAATGGATTCCTAGGTCCTATCTGATAGCCTGATCACAATCTTACCTTAAACGGACGAAAGTATTTCAGAAACTATTAACATATTTTCACTGAATGATCTATGGAGTTACAGTAAGTGGAATTTCTTATAGCGCTTTATTCCTGGTGGTCGCACGTTCTAGTTAGAATAGGAATCATTTTTAACCTGAATATTTTTCCTTATAGTCATACTACCCAGGTGTTCCATGTAGTAAGTCCAATAAACGGGCTTTATCATAATATTCGGTGCCTTATTCACATTATGAAAGAAAATTTATAATAAACTATAATAATGATTAACTAAAATAATAATGAACTAAATAAAAAAATCAGTAGCCTCGCGCATCTCAATAAAAGTCTTTCGAAGTTAGCTCGACAAAATTAAATAAAATTTGATTCTGACGACGTAGCCTGTAAACGTCAATAAATAAATAAAGTTTCGTGCATTAACCCGTAAAAACTAGTTTTATTTAATGAGTGATGTACGTGAAAACCTAAGAAACATATAATGAACTAATTAAAGGTATGGATAGATGCAGTTATACCTATAACTTTTAATGCAGACTCCACATGCTGTGGTTATGCGAAGTCTGCCGCACATACAGTAATGTGAGTGAACTTAGAACATCATTAGTCAGGAGATCAAAATTAAACATGCGGAAACAACTCACATTTGTTTTCGATTTGCTGCAAACTGTTCTGCTATGGAAAATTAGCAGATCATTTTGTTAATTGTTATTTCTAATTATGCCATTATATAAAATGCCAGAACTATTTCTAAAAGTATCAGGAACTATAGAACTCTGCTGCATGCGAAAAGAACTCACATTTGTTTTCGATTTCCTGCAAAATGATCTGCTACGGGATGTAACCAGACCATTTTGATAATTGTCACTTTTCGGGTAATGACGCCAGAACTATTTCTAAAAATTATCAGGAACTATAGAACTCAGCTGTATGCATAAGAAACTCACATTTGTTTTCGATTTGCTGCAAAATGATATGCTACGAGAAGTTAGCAGACCATTTTCATAATTATCATTTTTCGCGTAAAAATGCCTATGAGAACTATTTCTAAAAAGAATTAGGGACTATAGAACTCAGCTGCATGCGAAAAGAACTTACATTTGTTTTCCATTTGCTGCTAACTGATCTGCTACGTGATGTTAGCAGACCATTTTGTTAATTGTCATTTTTCGGGTAAAAACTCCAGAACTATTTCTAAAAAGAATCAGGAACAATAGAACTGAGCTGCATGCGGAAACAACTCACATTTGATTCTGAGCTGCTGGAAAATGATTTGCTAAGTTCATTCACATCATTCAGTACTGGTTGTATGCATATCTATGAAATTGATTCCAAGTGTTGCTACGTTGCTCTAGTTGCAGCCAAGTATGCAGCGTGTGTTTTTACAGTCTGCAACGTGCTTCGGGATAGAACTTTTGCGAAGACATATTTTTAATGATCTGTATCCCATCATCATCACTTCAGGTTTAACTGCGTTTTTAAAATAAAGTTTATAGATAATGTTACGTTTCAAATAGCTATCGATATCCACCGTTAGTATCACTTAATCGTCAGCATTCTTTCGATGTCAACTTTTCCGTCGCCGTACCAATGTAACTCGATCGGATCACTGCATCAGTGTCCAGCTCGACATACATTACACACGCTCATCATTGGCGCCTGGAATAACAACGGGATCTATTCATACTCGTATTCCGTTTTACGGTACATAGTAAACAAGATTTTATATCGTCGTTAACGTACTTTTCATGTTTTTATTGTCAACCATTGTTAGGAAGATTCGCTTTACGATCGCCACTAAAACCTTCGTCTTTCATATAAATAAGTAACTGCCGTATATTTTTATTGGTAGGTGCGTTTTAGTAGTTACGCTCAGGTGACCTTATGGCTCTCTTAGAAGTACCTATTTTGTGAGAGTTTTTAGACCGAATATAATGTTTAACAACGTTTTTTGCAGACTTTGTTAAAATTGTCTTAAACTGACGAGTAAACTCGCCTGATGGTAGCTTACAGATTCTACTACAAAACCTAAGAACATTAAAACATTTATTTTTCCATTGAACTCTGCCAGAGTTCAAAAGGGTAATAAAATATAAGACTTTACTGAATCACTTTACATACACCAATGTTATTCCATTAATTATAGCAGTATTTAAGGACTTACATAATTATGATGAACGACCAAATAATTTTGTTCGAACCAGTCTCATCAACCTGAAATCGCCAATTGAAATTATCGCTCTCCAATTAAAATTAGGTGAGATTTTTTTTTATAAGCGTTTCATTCCATACAGTAAAAAATAAAATATATATCAATACAAAAGTGATGCGCGAACGTGTGGCGCTAGATGGTATCTTTTCTGTACAGATATTAAAAGGCTCTGTATTTCCTGTGCACATAGTAAAAGTCCTGATATTTTTTGAACAACGTAAAATGCTAAAGGAAAGTTCTCTAATAAGTATGCGTTTGTTCCGCTAATCATCGTACTTAACCAAATTGAGTTATTATTATTGCAAGACAGTGCTTCAGAGGTTGTTACTCATAGAGGTTGCACGAGACACTAATAATTTACCTTGCCAATTTGCAAAGTGCTTTACTACTATCTTTGTCTATTATGTTATTTGATGGTAAGGTGGAGGGAACACGTGTGATGGCATGTGGTCATAATCACATTACACCACCATCTAAAGTACAACTCAAATCATACTAATTTAATTGTTTCTCCTTTCTTGATTCTAAATTAGAACACACTTTGCGGTCGTTTTCTAATCTAACCCTTGCAGTCCCACTCCATTCAGCTGATTTCTTTTCATATCCCTTCACTGTGTATTCTATTCTCTTATGAAGTAGTAGTGAGTTCATTACCCGAATCAATCCAAAAAGCTCACACTCTGACCTCGTTCAGCAATCAAGGTAGGGATTATATTCTCTCTTGTCTCTCTCTTTGGATATATCTATTCAATTGTTATCATTATTTATTAACTTTTACCATACAATAAGTATGGTCATATCATCCCTCTTATTTATGTATTTTACTGTCATGGGTTGCCTAGAAGAGATTGCAGTCTAGAAATAAGGCCGCCTATTTTGTACGTTTTAGGAACGTCAAGATGACAGCACCCTGCCAGGTTTTCCGAATATTATGTGATTAGGATTTAATGCAGGATTTCTGCTTTTATACTTTCATAGAATAATTCAACACTTATAAAAAAATCTAAATTTTCAATAGATATATTCACTTTTTAAAGTGTAACATTGTTCAAACGTGGTCGCACTAAATCATACTAAAATTAGGTATGAGTTTAAGATCACGCCATGAGTTTTTCATTAATTGACTAGTGGTCCCGTCATTCTGATATCAAAATAGCGAGACCAGTCTCTTAGTTGAATGTTGTTGAATTATTTTCCTTAATACTTTACTCAAAATAACTTTATTTATACGGACGAAGTCTCGGGCACTGACTAGTGATTTATAAAATGTAATTTTTGAAACCTCTCCTTGCTCGCGAAACATTCGTACACGGAACACGTAACGCCTTTGAATTAAGTGAAATGGGGCTATCACAGTCGTTAAGTTTCGGGCCCAGAATAAAACCGAGGTGTGTTTATGTCAATACGTGATGCGGTGGGAGCTCGCCATTTTAAAACACGGGAATGCTCGCTGGGGAATAGATTTATGAAACCTACGCTATAAAGTCGAGAAATCATACGACTGCTAAACTATAATAATAAAATGTAAAGGTAGCAAATTCATTCAATTTATTATTAGAGGGTCATTTGTACCAAATTCTTTAAATCAAAAGCTAATCGTGTTTCAACCTCGTTCTATCTCTATTTCAATTAAAGCAGTTGACAAAGTCTAAATGATGTGTTAAACGGGATTAGGCCTTAATAAGGATTTAAGAATGTTGGTGTAAGTGGCCCTCAGTGTTACCAATAATAACATTCGCTTTTTTGCTGTTCAAGTAACACTTTTATACTCGTATTCAAATATACCATCTATGGTAATTGGAAGTAACCTCTGTCTTACAGAAGACCGCAGTAACATAACACTAAGGGCGCTTGTTAACGAGACGATTTCCTGCCGGGTAATCGTCTCGTTAACAAGCGCCCTAATTTTT